TTCATGCTTTGATGAGTTTCTTTTCCAGCAGTGTAAACGTGTGACAACAGTCAAAAAAGATCTCTGTATTAAGGGTTCGTGTTTTGGCCATGAAAATTTTCGAAACTCCGTACCGTTGCACACGGGTACGTTTTGTACAAATGCAGACGTGTAGACGACGTTTGGAAAGTTCAAACGATTCCGTGTGGATCTCGAACAATCATCTCGGGAGGAGAAAGTTGACCCTCGCGACCTCTGGATGCCACCCACTCCAGCCAGCCGGGGCACCCGCGCCTCGAACACGGCCGGAAAAGCTTGGGAACCCGTTTAAAATTTCTCCTCCAACGCCTGGGGTACCGTTGCGCCTCATTTAATAATGCCATTAAACAATAAACTTTTTGAGTAATATACTTGACAAACGGAAGTCTACTTGGATCGGACAATTGGTCGAGGTGCGGTGGAAACCCTAGCCAAGCGTGTTATACTTTTCCTTATGTCTATTCCATGTATATACAATTTATTTAAAAAAGGGATTTTACGTAATATTCAACTAATTGAAAATTGGTTAAACTAGTTATTCTATTATGCCAAAGTATATTTTAAAAATTTATCCAATTAACAACGGTCTAAAAGATTAATATTGATTCCTATCGTTTCTAAAATTAGCGAATGTTTAGCGGAATGGTGTGAAATTGAAAAGAGAAAAAATCTCTTGAGCTAACAACGAGAGTGGGCGGATCCAGAAGAGAAAATCTCGTACGAATTGTGATGTGATTTTCTCTTTGGCTTTGTATTCCCATTCCTCAGGTTACTAGATTTGACAATTTTACATGCCCAAGTTAAAAGCTTCATCATCGATAGATCAGCCCGACCCCTCACCTTCAGAATATCAATTTTTCCGTCCAATCGATCACTCAAATTTCAATACTGGAAAAAAAGCGGGGGAAAAGAGGAGGAAAATTTTCTGCACCTTCGTAGATAAAAATTGCGCTTCATTTTGCCCGCTTACGGAAAAACAATGAATCACTGATATCTTAACTCGCCCCAAACTCAAACCCTATCTAAACCCAACCGTACCTAAACTAACGAAATCTGTTTTTAACCATCACCCTAACATAAACCCTTACATAACTCAAACTCTGCTTAACCTAAACCAAATCCTACCTAAACTAACTTAATCTGTTCCTAACCATCACCCTCACCTAAACCCTTACGTAACACAAACTACACCTAATCTGAACCCAACCCTACCTAAACTAACTTAATCTGTTCCTAACCATCACCCTCCCCTAAACCCTTACGTAACACAAACTCCACCTAATCTGAACCAACCCTACCTAAACTAACGTAATCTGTTCCTAACCATCACCCTAACATAAACCCTTACCTAACTCAAACTCTACCTAACCTAAACCAAATCCTACCTAAACTAACTTAATCAGTTCCTAATCATCACCCATAACATAAACCCTGACCTAACTCAAACTCTACCTAACCTAAACCAACCTTATCTAAACTAACGTAATCTGTTCCTAACCATCAAAGTAACCTAAACCCTTACCTAACTCAAGCTCTACCTGATGTAAACCCAATCCTACCTAACCTAACGTAATCTGTTCTTAACCATAACACTGACATAAACTCTTACCTAACTCAAACTCTACCTACCCTAAACCGATCGAAACGTCGGCACGATAAAGAAAATGTTTTTCTGAAACCTACATCACACCAGACCGCATCTCACAATTTCTGAATAATCATCGACTAACGGTCACTAATCACCACACATAACTAACCTAAACCCCTAACCTAATCTGTTTCTAACCCCTAACTGAAACCTAATCCGTCCCTAATTCTATCCCTAACCATCTCAAATTACTAGATCTGACAAGCGTCTCATTCTTTAAATAATCCTTCAACTTTTTATCGAGAGTGAAGAACGTATTTCTGTAATTCACTCTTAAATGATGATGCACATGATTACATTTTTGCAAAAAGTCAGATTATTAAAAACAGAGTACTAAAAAAAGGTCGCGTCAAACCGGCCGCTGTTAAATATTATTTATACGGCCAATAAACCCAGTTGCTCTTCTCCAGGCTGTAATCGTACTTTCCTAGTTGTTCCGTTAAGGACTCGCATGCAACGGCGCTTTCTAAACGGAGGAAAAGGATGCAAAGCACGTTCGATTTAACACTCAATACAATTCAATTACTTTCCTATCGCATTGTAAGGCTTATACAATAGCTAAGCCGATGATTCAACACCTCCTTCAAAAACAGCGTTCGTATTAATTTCAATACGATAAGCCATGAATTTATAATTTTGAGAAAGGGACTTCGACAGGTAAGAAAATATTATAATGTTTGTAAAAGTAAACAATAATATTTAGGACAAATAAAAAATAAAAAAACAATAAATAATCCGAGTCTTCTATTGCCAGGTTGTAGCAAAACAAAAAACAAGCCTTGATTTGTATCATACCAAAATTGTTTGTCCTCAACACTTTCTAAATATTCATATTGTCCGGTGTTTTTAAACAATCAACTTCTGTTTATTCACGGGCGAGTCGATAAGGCGCTTTTTCACTATCTTCCACACCAGGAGATAGGCCAGCGACTGTGACGCCTCCACCAAGAACCGGTGAAAATTTATGCTTGCATAAAATAAATTCCCTGAGCCAGAAAGTGTTTTTTATCCTTTCCTTTCCGACCAAGAATCCTTGCAAACATAATGGAGATTTAATGCGTTAAACTTTATGCAAACACTATGTTTTTCATAAGGAACCACGAATTTCAATGCTAACCATCGAGTTTACTCGTAAAAAACATCGATTTTTATGAAACTTTTTATAACGAGCCGTAGTGCGTTCTTGCGAATGGGCCTTAGAAGGCGAGAAAGCTTTTTAATTATAGTTTTCCACATTTGTTGTGCATGGATGTCAATGTTAATGTTTATATCAATCCATATATCAAAGGAAAATTTCGGAAGGACTTTAGTTGGTAACATTCTACATTTACGCAAAGCCAAATGGCAATGGAACTTTAGTTTATAACACTAAGTCACAGAAGCCTAGGAACTTTTTGTTTTAAATATTGTTTTCCACCTTTGCTATATATAAATAGATATATCAAATGAAAATGTAAGTAGAACGTTAGTTGTAACATTGCACAGACCTTAAGAAAGACATTTAATCAAAGGAAAATGTTTTAAAAAAATTCCACCTTTGCCGTGCATGTATTTCAATGTTACAACGACATATATTCCAGTCGATATATCAAAGGAAAAAGACAAAAAGACTTTTTACATATCTTTTTAAAAAAGGAAAAAAGGAAAGACTTTAGTTGATAACACTGTACAAACATTAAGCAGGACATATAATCAAAGGAAAATGTCGATGAACCAAGGCTTGTAGCACTGCATGAATATTAAGGAAGATGTATAAGCAAAGAAAAATATGATTGGAACTTCAGTTGGCAACACTGTTAAAACATAAAGGGGGACATATATTCAAAGGAAAATGTGAGTGGAACTTTATTGTAGCATTGTACAGACTTTAAGAAAGACATATAATCAAAGAAAAATGTGAATGGGACTTTAGTTGGTAACATTGTACAGACCTTAAGTAAGATATAACATCAATGGAAATGTGAGAATTTCCTTAGTTTATAATACTGTAAAAACTTTATGGAAGACATTTAATCAAAGGAAAATGTTTAAAAATTTCCTCCTTTGCTGGGCATGCATTTCAATGTAATTATATTTCAGTCGATATATCAAAGGAAAATGACAGACTACACAGTACCAACATTAAGGAGGACATAAAATCAAAGGGAAACGTGACCGGAACTTTAGTTGGTAACACTGTACCAACATTAAGGAGGACATAAAATCAAAGGGAAACGTGACTGGAACTTTAGTTGGTAACACTACAAACATTAAGGAGGGCATAACTTCAATGGAAAATGTGTGAAACACTGTACAAACTTTAGGGAATCCTAGAAACCAAGAAAAAAATGCACCTTTTTTTGTGCTTGTTTTTCTATCTTATTATATACAAATCGATATATCAAAGTAAAATGTCAGAAGGACCTTAGTTGGTAACACTAAGCTGTACAAGCGAAAAAACATAAAAAATGTTTTTTAAGCATTTTTTGTGGATGTATTTCACTTTTATTGAACATCAATCGTTTTACATTTGTATCCAGAATAAGAAAATAGTTATGTACGGCCATATTAAATGAGACCAGACATAAAAAGTTTTAAAAGACGTATAAAGTAAAATAGACCAAAACAATTTGTTTTTGACAAAAAAATCATTAATTTTAAGCAGGCTTTAAAGCCCTTAATACGAATTTTTATAGTCAACAAAAATACACATTTTTGGGCTTGATCGGCCAGGGGCCGGTTTTCTTCTGCCAATGTCCAGTATTCCAATTAAAAATTCATAACTTCCCTGGATTTTATCTAAAATCAAAGTTATTGCGACCGTTAGAGATCTGAATGTTTTCCCTTTCCGACTATATTAACCAGGTTTACATTTTATGACATTAACACTGAGAAAATTAATTCGAAACGTAAATGAAGTCGATGAATCTTAAGGAATCAAAGGAAAATGCCAGAAAGGTTGTTTGTTGGTTACAATGTTCAAATCAAGCTAGAAACCGAAATTTTCATCGAATTTACCGTTAAAAAACGCTGATGGACTTTTTTTACTTAACATAGCCCGTTCAAATTTTCATTTCTTCCAGCCTGTGCATAGGTATATAATTTCTGGCCTTGTATGTATGCTTTATTTATTGTGCGTATTATTTATTTCTAATGATCTAGCACCCAGTGGGAAACAGTTTCTCTTTTAATCGACAGCTTCCGTTTAACTTTAGATTAATCTTAAGTTTTTTTTTTTTTAAATCAGTGATGTAATCAAAAATAACAATCTCTCTCCGGCTGCATACAAAACCATCTTCCCTCTCTCAGGCCGTCTTATCGAGAGGGGGGGACCGGAGAACACCTCGTCAAAAGGGGTCGCCTCTCACTTGCATTCGGACCCAGAACCAGGATGGACAAACAACAAGAAGCGGCGCAGGCGGACAGCATTTCCACCGTCGGTGTCAACATCAAGGTGCAGGAGTATCCGCCTTCGGAAGTATACACGTCCGAACCGCCTCCGGTAAGTCGAGAAAGCTTAAAAAAAGTACCGGCCTGGGGCCAGCCGAGATGAGAACCAGGCCTATGAAACCCGGCCTACATTTACTTAATATCCTGCTTACTTAAAAAAAAGTATAATCATTTTTTTTTAAATTTCTTATAATCTAACCATAAAAAAATTTCTTTCCCATTGATTGATTCCTCATCTAAACATACCAGAACAATAGAGTAGTAATTTTTATAAAGTAAATTTATAAAATAAAATTCCTTCTGTCGAAAATTTATTAAATATGGGTCCGCTTAGTCTAGCTGTTTATTCCCTACGTAGCTTCTTCCATCTTAATATAATCATATAGGACAATTGCTATTAATCAATTAGGATGAAAACCAAGAAAATTCAACCTCAAAAAAATTTTGGTTGTGATAGAAATTTATAGGGCTTTTTAAATATAAAAATTTATCAGAAAGGGAACTCTTCACTATTCGAACCTTGTACAAATGTACTGAATTTAGTTCGAATATATTTATTTATTCCAAAAGAAAAAAAGCCAGAAGAGTTTGAGGACGCCAAAACCCGCGAGTGAAGACGGGCCCAGTGCGAGTCAAACAATACGCTGAGTTGGTAGAATTTTTTTTTTTAATTTCAGATAAGAGGCGTTTTCATATACCGAAAGAAAATTTGATGAAAATAAGCCATGAGATGAATAACAATAAAAAAAATGCATTATGCTACCTTAAAATTTATCTACTAAGAAACGTGCACTCAGATAATCAATAAATTAATTAGTTAACTTGGATTTTTTTTTGTTTAATCATAAGGAGTAGAGGGAAAAGAGAAATGCAACTTTTCGTTATGCACTTCCTGAAACCGGTTTTACATAAGCATAGATTTGTACCGGGGTACTTTTTTACTCCATTCCCTTCCACGGTCCGTCTCCCTTTGAGTAAAAACATTCCCCTTTATAAATTCTTCTTTTATTTTAAGCCTTCAAGCCCAAGAAGGTTGAGCCTTTCTAATAAAGTTCAAAATTATGAAAGTATCTAAGGTCACCCAGCAGTCAAATTCAGGACCTCTTCGCGACAGCGGTGAGAATCTGCCCTGAAGATCCTTTTAAATGCCGATTTATGAATTAAAAACATGAAAAAGAATCCCAATACTTGTTACAAAGTGAATGTTTTGCAATCAACTATTAATTAAAAAGTCTTAATTTAATTAACAAATTAGTTTACTAATCAAGCATGCATGGCTTTATAAACCGTTGAAGGTGTAATTATTTTCTATTAAAAAAAATCTTCCCTATAAAGTAATTATAATTATTAATTAAGCCTTCTATGCTTTTCCTGTAGAAAATCTGGTAGAAAAAAATTCTGGGTCATCTTCAGGATGGTAAATTGCATTGAGCGTAGTCATTTTGAAAAATCATTGTTTTTTCTGGAAGGATAACAGATCCGTGGAGCAAGCAAACGTCCTTGTTTTTATTAATAGATGACCGTGGAAAAGCTAGTTGTAAGAAATTACATGTAATTTTGTTGTAGTGACTTACAAAAAAATCCTTGGTCGTCTTCAAACTTGCTTTACAAGATGCCTGGGTTTAAATCCAACCTATAAAACCTGTAAAAACAAATAAAACTTCGTTTCAATTCTGCCGGCTCGGACATTTTGAAAAGAGATCCCGGTCAAAGTGTAAAAAAAGAAGTTCAAACAAAGGTGTCGTTTAACGAAATGACACTGTGGGAGGGGGAGTCGTCCGATCCATCTTTCTCCTCACGAAAGGCTTTCTCTCGAAACTGACTTTCCATTTTTTCCATTTCTCGCTTCGACAAACAATTTGTTATATTTTATTCACAACGTGATAGACGAAAAAATTGACGTTTTAGCTCAAGACAGTTGAAAAAAAAAAACCCTGGCAAAAGATGCATCTCAAGGAATAGAAAACACAACGAACAGGATTGTATAGATTAACAAAGGGAAAAATGGCAAAAGGATAAAACAATGACCCAAGCATATAAGATATTTGCAAATACCCATAAAAAATACCTCCTAGACTTCAACTGGACCACGACTTGTTGCCAGACCATATGTAAGATAACAGTAGACCATCCCTAAACACACGTCATCATGTATCTGAAACATCCTTAACCAACTATGACCATATCTCACAAAGTACAACCGGCTCGGATCATTCCTAAACACCCTTGATCATGGACGATCATCTTTAAACATCCATGACCTATATCTAGCAACTACACAACCAACCATCTGACCAATCACAATCACACTTGATTACGCCTGACTATCTCCAATATTCCCAACCATATCTCACAATGCCCAACTTAGTCTGACCATCTCTAGACATTTTTAACCATGTCTGATGATATTTTATCACCCCATGTTTAACCATCCATAATCACCCTTGATTATGTCTGATCATCCTTAAACACCCATGACTAAATTTAGAAACTCACAACCATCTCTGACCAACTAAAATCACCGTTGATTATGCCTGACTATCTCTAACCATTACTAACCATATCTCAGAATTTAGAACCATGCCTGACCATCCCTAACCATTTTTAACTATGTCTGATTATCTTTTTTCACAACCAACCATGTTTTTAAAAAATACCTGATTACCCTTGATCATGCCTGATCATCCTTAAACTCCATGACTTAATTTAGAAACTCACAACCATCTCTGACCAATGAAAATCACCCTTGATTATGAATGGCTATCTCGAACTATTCCCAACCATATCTCACAATGCCCCATTATACCTGACCATCCCTAACCATTTTTAATTATGTCTGAATATCTTTTATCACATCCAACCATAGTTTTAACAATACCTGATCACCCTTGATCATGTTTGATCATCTTTAAACATCCATGTCTAAATTTAGATACTAACAACCATTTCTGACCGACCACAATCACCCTTGATTATGGCTGACTATCTCCAACCTTTCCCAACCATATCTCACAAAGCGCAACTTAGTCTGATCATCCCTAGATATTTCTAATCATCTTTAATGATAAGAACAACTAATGATTTTTTATCACCCCTAATCTATAATAATCACCCTTGATTATATTTTTGACCATCCCCGTTAACCACCCATGACCACATCTAACAACTCAAAATTATCTTTGACCATCCCTAACACTAGCAACTGAGAATAATCTCTCAAAATTCCTAATTACCGTTGACCATGCCGGATCATCTTTAAACATCCATGACTTATATCTAGCAACTCCACAAACAACCAATCACAATCACCCTTGATCAGGTCTGGCCATCTCTATATATTCCTCACCATATCTCACAACTCACAACTTTACCTAACCACTAACAACCATCTCTGACCATCCCTAATCACATCCTGATCGTATCTGATCATCTCTATCCATTCCTAACCATATATAACAATTTCACAATCATGTCTGACTGTCCTTAACAATCCTTAATCCCTGACCGTACCCAACAAATCACAACCATTTAAGTGTGAACTGAACGAAGACGAAACTGCCAAACATGTCATTTTCAGCTGTCATTTACAACGGCAAGGATATCTTGCCAGTTTATGAAAGGTGCCCTAATATAGTGGCCATAAAATAGCAGAACAGGTCCATAAAGTAAGGAAAGGGAAAAAATGGGCCGATAAAATACTAGGATCCTTTCACCTTATCCAACCTTCAAATCTGGGGCTAAAACTAAAACAACAACCAGGTTACACCTACAAAAGTTAAAAGCCTTTAAAGTAGGGGAAAACTAAACAAATAAATATATAGTTAGTGATGGAATTTCTGTTTTATTATTTTTTCCGTTTTGTCACTGAAATTTTGAAGACTGAGCGCATTTATCACCGTCTAATTACGTCTCATTTACTTCTAAGTGCGTTATTATTTATTATTTGATTTTTTTTAAGTTTAGGCCTTTCCCACATGATCCAACTTCAAATTCCGAGTGTTTAAATCTGATACATTTGAGAAACATCGTATGTGAAATCGATTTTCACTTTTGCCAAAAGGTCAGTTCAGTCAAACATTTATCTAGCCTGAAGGGTAAAAGTGTTGATATTTTTCCCCATTTGAAAATATTTATGTAAAAGAATCTTACAGCTGGGATGCCCCTGAGTTTCTACTCAAGCCATTCAAAGCTAATGAATGACAAGAAAAAATAACATTTTTCAACAAACAGACTTGTTTGACTTGTTTTGAGGCTAGTTGTTTTTCTTCTTATTTTGTTAGGAGATTTTATCTGAATTAAACTTTTATCGAGTAATTATAGGTTTAAGGAAGGCCATGTTAGTTGTTATTACATTAAAAATAGAAATTTCAATGTAAATCTCGAAAAACCTGAAGGTGCAGTAAGACAATTGAACTCGGGGGGGAAACAATGCCGTGAGAACAATGGATTTCGATAGCCTTGTTCTTCACCTGTTAGACGTTGCGTTCCATTGTTCTTTACAAAAAAGACATTTGATGAAGAAGTGTGTGTCTTGTAATCTCCGGTGAAATGATAAGCACATTACAACGAATAAAATTAAGTATACTTTTTCCCTGGATCACGATCAAGGAAATCATTTAGGTTATGTATTCGTTGTTTTTATTAAAGACGAATTCAGTGGATGTGGATAAAAACTATTTACATGACTTAAAGTGTTATAGAAAACTCCACATCCCCAACAATCCTGGGGTCCAGTCAAGTGCCCAAATTGCCCAGAGTACTCAGACATTTGCGTGCCACCGCAGGGCCACAACCCCCAGACAACCGCAATAACCCTGAACTAAATCTGATGTGTGATACATAAATATTGGCTTACGTTATACTGCTTTTATAGGCAATGAAATGCGAGTTTTCACAATGGAATTTTTTTTTGGAAGATAAAGGACAAAAGAACTTGGTCACGATCTGCTTGCGACACAAACATGGGTATAAATGGTTAGACATATCTAGTGATGTCACAAGAGGATAAATAAGATGGTTAGAGTTGGTTGTGGGGGTTAAATATGATTAGGA